GCAAAAAATTACGTATGCCATTTGATAAAGTGAGAAGATCCAAATGCAAAGTTTAGTGCCAAATTTACTTGCACTCCCTTTTTTGAAAAATCATAACATTTGGGCCTAATTGGATTAATAGTCGATCGAGTGAATGGTAATCAGAAAATAGTCTACGTGGTAAATAAATTAGAATTTAAACTTATGTAGTGAAGTTCGTTAGGATTTAGATCCAAAATTGAAAGTTTCGTCAACTTTCTATTAATTGTTAGTACATAACACTCACATGTGAGACTAAATTTGTCTTTTTATTTCTTTAAACTCATTATGCGCTCAACTTCATACCTCCCAGTCTGAACAGGGATCGAACTGAAATCGTCTATTGAGATATAGAGTCGAACAATGAAACCAAGAAGTCGAATAAGATGGGTGTCAGGATTCTCCGTGAGAAATCTAAGAGGGTTGTTGAAATTGTTTAAGCTGCTCACTGAAGTATTGAAAGAGGTTTTCTAGATGAAATTTTTTGTTTTAATTTTTAATTGATGTTGATTTTGATGAGTGTGTAAAATTTTAGTTAAACCTTTGATTATTATTTGGTTCATTTGGTTTTTATACGCCTTCCTTGCCGTCGAAGGGTTTCTTTTCAATCCAATTTGCCCTCATCTCAATTTCCATTTCAATTTCAAGCGACAAATGTAACTGCCACATCGTGTTTCATCATTTTATATTGAGAGGAATGATGAAAGGGTTTTTATTTTAATTTTGGGCTTAAATTCAAACAAACTTCACTACAAAAGTTTAAATTTTAATTTTTTTACTAGAGTTGTCTTCTAACTACCCTATCACCACATGAATACCAATCAACTAAGGATGTTCAGATGTTTGTTATGATTGAAAACGGTTGTTTTGCTTGAAGACATCATTTTAATTAGTGTGAAGTCATTTGTCTCATCTCGTTGATTAACTTGAGAAAAATTATGAGGTCTCAAGTTCTAGAATTTTGTGATCGTAACTAATTAGAGTTTTGAGTCAATGAGTTTGTTTTAATAACACTGTCGGCTCTAAGTTTCTGTTAATTAACTAATTAATCACGATAATCTCTATAGAGGAAAAGTAGTTAGAAGATGTCCTAGAACTCCAAACACAAGACAAAAATTTACAGGTTTGTTTTGGTTGAAGATGTTAAGGCAAAAAGGGATTAGAAAAATAATTTAAGTGCGATTAATTCCTAAACAGATCATAGCAAGGCGGCTGGTTTAAAGCTAGGGATGGTGATAATCTTGTCAGTCGGGTGAGCCAAGGCAAAACCATTGAAATCAACATCCAATTAAAGTACCAAAAACTGTTTTGGTTCCAAGTACACAGGCAGAGACATAATGGTACGTAGTTGTGTTTTGGTTTCATCTCCATAAACTGATGACACGTAAGAGTTACAGTGCTTGCTAGATGTTCTTTTGGTTTTGAGGGGTTTAAGAAATGAGAAAGTAAAAGTTCGTTTCATGATGATTTCGTTTTTTTATTTTAAGTTTTTATAGTTTGTGTTAGCGATACTTTAATAAAGAAAATATACATCGGTTAAATGAGGAATTAGGAGAAATAAGGAATGAAAGCGGATGAAGAATGATGGAAAAATCTATAAAGAGTCTCACTTTTAAAGAATAATTGGCGAATAGTTTTGCCCCCAATGCAATCTCATTTTAAGCATAAAAAGTTGCATGGTTTTTCCCGCCATTTTTGTCCCTACGCATGTGGGTTCATAGTTTGGCAGAATATTACAAGCTAACGGATTTATTATGTTCCTCGGATTTCACTGTCTTTTGTCAAGACAATAGCTATATTTTGTCTAATTATTATGTCAAATGACTTCAAAACCCTTACCACAAAACGCATTATTCCAAGATTGGTAATTAGTCTTGTGCACAAAATCGTAATTCGGCAATGCACCGTTGTTAACGAGGAGCTTGGATCTGATTAGTGTATGATTATAAAAGTCCATTACCATAAACAGATTTGCTTTCAAGAACTCGGCCAAAAAATCAAATAATTCTGAGTTCTTAGCTAACCAAAAGTTTGAATATTTTTCCAGGAAAACGCTTCATTACTTGCAGTTCTGGTCCAATCATGGCATGCAGTTCACTAGTTATTCCTACCTCGGCCGCTTCCGCCAGGACTGTAGACATTTCCAAAGAGCACAATGGTCTCCGCCAGTCTAACTCCAGCCAAGACCTTTACGTTCGTGCTACCATGCGGAGGTCTTCGTCGGACAACCATCTTTGTTGCCGCATCAATCGTATCCACGCAGCAGCAACGGAACCAAAACTAAAGAACAGCCGTTCCGTGGGGATTTTCCCGTTTCAGTTTTCGAGTTCCATTCTCCCAAACTCGGTGAGATCATTCTTTGATCCGGACATGAGTAATCATATGAGCGTAGGGGAGGACATGAGTACGGAGAACTCTGGGGAGAGCGCCAGTGAGGAGAGAAAAAGAACCAATTGGGTAGAGAGACTTGTAGAAATCAGAAGTAAATGGAGGAATAGGCAGAAAAAGGACAATGCGGATGAAGACAGCGTCTGTGAAGCGGGTGAAAATGGTGAGTGTGAAAGTGGCAGTGAGGAGGGTGGCTGTGCGGTGGATTATGCTGCAGAAGACGATGAGGGAGAAATCAGTCCTGAATTTTTCCGGAGGTTTTTGGTTCAAGTGCCATGGTCTGATACCAAGCTGTTTTCCAAGTTATCCTTCTTATGCAACATGGCCTATGCGATACCACAACTCAAGGTACGTTTTTTATTCAGCATATTTCACAAATCGAGCTTCAATATTTCTAACAAGATTAATAAATTCATCTGCTAACTCGTGCAGGAAAATGATGTAAAGAGATATTTTGACCTACAATTAGTAACAACTTCACTAGAAAAGAAAGCCGAAGAAGATGAAATCAAAGCTAAACTAGATGACGACTCTAATCGTGTACCTGTAGCTGCTGAAGTAGCTAGTGAATCCAGTTTGGAGAAAGCTGTAGAATCTGAGTACAAGCGTCCATGCCGTCCTGCTGTTGCTTACAACATTGCTGCCTCAGCCGCATCTTATGTGCGGTCACGCGATACGGATAGGATGTCACCCGGGTCCAAATTGCAGCAGGAGGGTGATGGCGAAAATCCCGAGAGGAAGGAGGGTACTCACCTCGAAGCTACAAGCCAGAGGTTGCAGTTTCCATGGCAGCATCAGCAATGACAGCAATGGTTGCAGCAGGGGAAAAGGAGAAACAAGAAACAGCAGAGGACCTTCAGTCACTCAACTCCTCACCTTGTGAATGGTTTGTCTGTGATGATTCCAGTACGTATACTCGTTGTTTTGTGATTCAGGTAAACTTTCTGCCCTTCATCCCACTAGATATGTGTTTGATAATAGCTCTCCAACAGCCTTTCAAATCCAATTGTGGGATTAAATAGGCTGATTTCATGTGGCAAAATCATTCTGATTTCTGAAACAAGGAGATATCAAGTAGCATACTTGTAAATGCTTTGACATGCAAATTGTTCTTACCTGCAGGGTTCCGACTCCCTTGCATCCTGGCAGGCAAATCTTTTCTTCGAACCTACGAAATTTGAGGTAAGCATAGATAGAGTCTTACAGAGACCTCCCTTGATACTGTCTCAGAAGGAAAAAAAATGATTAATCAAACCTTTTCATATCCTTGTACAGGGGACAGATGTACTTGTTCACAGAGGAATCTACGAAGCAGCGAAGGGAATGTACAAGCAATTTATGCCAGAAATAACCGAACATTTGAATAGACATGGTGAGCGAGCGAAGCTTCAGTTCACAGGCCACTCTCTTGGAGGAAGCCTTTCTCTCTTAGTCCACTTGATGCTGCTGAGTAGGAATTGTGTAAAACCCTCCACTCTTCAACCAGTTGTCACATTTGGCTCACCATTTGTGTTCTGCGGAGGGCAGAAAATACTTGACATACTGAGCGTGGATGAGAGTCAAATCCATTCCGTGATGATGCATAGAGATATCGTCCCTAGAGCCTTCTCCTGCAACTACCCTAACTATGTGGCTACACTTCTCAAGCGTTTAAGTGGTTCATTTCGGTCACACCCTTGTCTAACAAAAAATGTAAGCATCCTTCACAAATTATGGGTTACAGCTTTAAAGTAACCTGAAATTTTACCAATTTAACCTCAGAGAATATCATTCATGCACATAAGGCTTCAACTACGCAGTATAAAATGTTATATGAGAACCAAGAATTTGATATCGACTACCTACCTACTGAACTTTTAGTGCAGGCAAGTTTTCTAATTCACTTCTTATTGTGTGTGTTTCTATGCAGAAAATATTATATTCTCCGATGGGCAAACTATTCATTCTCCAACCTGACTGAGAACTCATCTCCTCCACACCCTCTACTTCCTCCGGGGAACGCCCTATATGCTTTGGACAAGACCCAACGTGGATTCTCTTCAAGTGTCCTTACAACTTTCTTGAACTCCCCGCATCCACTAGAAACCCTAAGTGATCCTACAGCTTATGGTTCAGAAGGTACAATTCTACGAGACCATGACTCAAGCAACTATCTAAAGGCTGTGAATGAGGTCCTAAGGAAATACACAAGGACGGTTGTTCGGAGAGTGAGAAAACAAAGGAATCTCGTGCGGCCGCTACTTACTTCACCATCTCCACACTCCTGGAGCCATGAAAGTAATCTGGACAGCAGCAGGATGGCAACTAAGAAGATACTCACGGGAGTTTGAAATTACTGTTTGTGGGTGGGGTTCGACATGCATATAGAAGATGTTCATAAGAAAATAAGTAGAGGACTTATTTCGTTCTCTCTGTTTCGTGTACATCTCTTAGATCCTAACCATCACTGTATCTATGAACTCAACCTTACGTCCTAAGTACAGAATTGTAATATTACTGTAAAGTATTTTCTTCCAATATCTTTTTTGTCTTAAATTTTCTTTAATACTAAACAATGAGTAAATAAGCACAAGCATGCTTTCCGATACTACAAATCAAACAAAGCTGACTATTAATTCCGATTAGCAAAGAAGAGGATAAAGTTTTCCACTAGCTTTGCCACCATTGTTATGCATTTCCAAATTTTATCATACAACGAAAAGTGAACTTTCTCTTCAACACTTAACCAAAGGGGGTGAGGGGAAGAACCATTCCTGCCACAAATCTTTAAAGTTTTGAAATAATAAGTATTAGCGGTTATTTACCCTCCGCAGCCATTCTTTTTCGTATCTCGTGAGTTGTGTTGAATATGCCAAGAGTAGGCTTGTCGCAGACAAAGCATTTCTTGTTCTTCGAATGATGCTGTGAATGAAAAGCATAAGGTTAGAAAATGCTTGAAAGAAACACACAGAAACAGAAAGAGACTGTTCTACTTGATATACTTGATTCATAAATCAAAAACCAAAATTTAATATCATAAAGTTATGGCAACAACAAGAAAGCGGATGACACATTAAGAAAGAGGGGTCACCTTCAGTGCACAATGCTCACAGAAGTAATGGTTGCACTTAGTTACGACAGGATCAACAAATGGTTGCCTGCAGATGAAACATGCGAAGGGCAACGAGCCATCATCTACATCATCATCATCTTCCTCAGACTCATCCACATCATCGTCACCCATAGCTAATTTTCTCTTCCTCGCTTTCTCTGCTTCATCCCACTCTTTTTCCATCTGCCAGCCAGATTTGTAGTCCCCACGATCATGCATAAACTTGCAGGAATCTCCATACCCACAGTAACCAGTCTCCTTGTAATCCTTACAGATGTCTGGCTGATAATCAAATCTCGTAGAAGTCCTGATGTGAGCAGAGGCCCTGAGAGGCCCATGGGCACCTCCTGCTTTCTCACTGGCTACTGTTAGTTCTCTTCGGATCCCAGCCTTGTAATCAGTATATCCATGGATCCCTTATACAACTTTTCATTGCCGGTGGTTTTTCCCTTTCCCTTCAAAGCCTCTTCTGCCTGCTTGAGAACTCTTTCTCGAACTGCTCAGTGCATCTCTGGAGAACTCAGTCTCAGTCTCCATAGTCGCTGTTGCCCTGCTATCATTTTCAACTTGGATTTCATTTGAAGACTCAAACTCAAAGACTGCTCTGTCATCAGACACAGAGCTCTTGGAGGGTCGTTAGAAAAAAGAGCTTGCCAGCAGCCTTTGGGGCCTTTCTTTGGTTTGATAAGGATGTCCCAGATTTTGAATCATCCTCCTCTTCATCTTCATCAGTCCTTCGCTTTCTAATGTTTTGCCTCCTTGATGGCTTCTGAAGAAGTTGCAAACGAGAAATGAAAAAAAGCTATGAATAGTGTATAGAGCATATGCAATGTAAGCATACAAAAAACATTCATCAACAACCAAAAATACCTTCCCCAGGCTCTTTATTTTCACCCAAATCTGCCATGTAGACACAAGAAAAAGAAACGCAGGAAACCAAAGCAAGTAGAACAAAGTACAGTTTCCAAGGCCTAGGTCAATTGCCACAACTTGAGTCTATTAGAGCTGAATGGCCGAACTAAGAATTGGAGAGGTAGCTCTGGATTTCTCGTTTTATGGCTGCTGGCGGAAAACAAAATTCACTTTATAAATTAACTAAAAAAACTCCAGAAATAAAGAAAAAAAGGTTCATACATGGAAATCAACCAACACTAATAAACAATGGAAAACAAAGTGCAACTCAAAAGAAAATGGCTCGACCAATAGAAAGAGAAAATTTAAACTTTATTGAAGAGAACGAGAAAGAAATTTGTAGGGTCGTTGTATCATGTGGTTTCTCAGTACTAAACCAGTAAACTCTTACCATTATGGTAAAAAAGTCCTGCAAAATTGCTGTTTCTTTCCTGGGAAAGAAATGAAACGAAAGGGAAGACGCATGAATCCTTGAGCCCATAATCAGGGCGGAACCAGGATTCCAAGCTAATTGTTGAATATATATCAAGCTTGGCTTCTGTTTTAACTAATTGATTCCTTTCTTTCCTGCTAAAACCAAAAGGAGTTCATATACCCAAGTTCATGCGCTTTATAGACACTGGTCTTAGTCTCTAATATATACCCTAATGCTGCCAATCCAGCTGACAAGAATCTAAAAGTTTCCCAAGTTAACATTTTTCCTTCTTCTGCGAATACATCCATATCTCCCAATTAAGCTTTTCACTTTTTCGAAAGAGTTTGATTAATCCCAATTATTAAGCTCACAAAAATCTAAAAGTTTCCCAAGTTTTGGCCACAACTAGCTCTACTACAAGGAGAATGAAAAATTTACTCTTAATCCTCCCAAAGTAATTCTCCTTAATCCTCCCAAATAATTATCTAAACCATCTTTGCCATTGATATCAAATGTTGAATCAATATCAACAGTAGTAGTAAGTATTTCATTACATAAATGGAGATTTGAGTATGTGGAGTATGAGATTTACGTGTAAGATATTGAACCCAGAATTTATATGGAGAATAAAAAATAATAAGAATCCAAACTTCATATCAATAGAGTATATGCTAATCAAAAATTAAAAATTGATTAACTCTAAGAAGTTGCTTCTGAATTGCATAACAATTAACAAAGTTGAAACCTTTTGGTCGTGATTCTGCAATCCCTGTCTGAAACACCGTTGAGCCCCCCTAAAGAGAAGGGTGCGAGGGTATTAAGGAAGAAGAACAAGAAAGGGGTGCTGGAAGCGGGGACTACTCTGCCGAATTGGAAACTGAGTTGGGCTTTTTGGGGATGGACTTCTACAGTGCCTCCGTGGCCTTGCTGGCCAAGTTTTCAATTTTAGATATAGCCTTGGAAATTGCTATTTGCACCCAACACCGGAAAACTTGGCATAACTAACGTATGTTATGCGTGTGTTTATTAAATTTTGAAAATAAAATTTGATCATTAAAGCCTTTTGGCACCTTCAAATAATTTTTTGTCATTGAAGAAGTTGTTTATATCTTTAACGATTGATTTTAGATAACTATTCTCTTAGTGAGAGTTCAGGGATGTAGTCAAATTAGAATTTGGAAGGATTTTAAATATATTTGTAAGCGTAGATTTGATAAGAGTTGTTAAATCTTAAAGATTTGAAAGGATTTTTATATGAATTTTGGAGGAGTTGTCTGGACCTTGTTTATACATTTGGATGGATTTGGAAAGACTTTCTTTTCATTTATATAGAGTCCAGATTTTCTGCACCCAAATACCCCTGTGACCCCTCTAAATATGCGACACGTGTCCACCCACTCACTAATCTTAATTTTGTTATTTTTTCTATTATCCTTAAACTTTTGTTAACTTCTGTTATCTACTAAATTTTTGGAAAAAGAAATTGCAAACGGCTTACAACGTATGGACTCTACCAAATATCCCTCTGTCGCGTGACTCTCCTGCTTCCTCACTGTGGCTTCCAAAGTTCTTCATTACCATGTCCAAGCACTAAACCATGGAGCCAAAAATTCATATGCATAGAGTAGAGCACGACCCTGGAGAAGGAGCAACTGTAAGTAAAAATTTTTCTTATTTTATTTGTGAATGGGACATGTGAAGGGGTTGACATAGATTAGTCAATGGAGATGGTTGTTTGTTTTTTTACCATTGTTATCCTTTACCTAGATTTTGGTCTTTAATTCCATTCCAATTATGGTCTCGGAAGCATCACAATTAATTGTGGACAATCTTTCTTTTTACTTTCAAAATATGGACATCACAAAGAACTTTATGAAGTATCAAACTGAAGCACATCGTAAGCTGGATTTTGAAGGTGATACTTCCATGAATAATTTTGTTGAAGGCGAGTGCAGTGCAAAAAGTTAGATGATATAACGGATGGTGAAAATATTGTTTTGATTCATTCCAACAGTTGGTTTGGAGTTTGAAACAGAAGTTCAAGCATATAATTTTTACAAGACTTATGCATATCATGTTGGCTTAGGCATTAGAAGAAGTAATGCACATAGAAGGGAAGACGGCACGTTCAAAGACAGGCTTTTTGTTTGCTCTGCTCAAGGTTACCCTGGACCTAATAAACGTGATGATAATGTTCAACATCATCTTCCTGAGACTAGATTTGGGTGCCAAACAAGGTTGCAAAAAAATTCTCCCATACCTGGTAAGTATCTTGTGGTTGACTTTGTTGCCGAGCATACACATGAGACAACAAGTCCGTCTAAGACACATTTTTTTAGAGCTCACAGGAACATTAGTGTTGCCCAAAAAACCTTAGCTGATATGGCTGATAGTTCAGGAATTGCTCCAAAAGTAACTATTGAATTTTTTAGTAGACAAGCTGGTGATCGTGAAAATCTTGGGTTTATTCCTGAGGATTATAGGAATTACTTACGTTCTAAGCGAACAACTGAAATGAAGATAGGGGATATTGGCGGAGTGTTGGAATATTTGCAAAAAAATGCAATTGAACGATCCCAATTTTTTTTATGCAATACAAGTGGATGAAGATGATCTGATAACTAACATTTTTTGGGCAGATGCAAAAATGATGGTTGATTATGATTATTTTGGTGATATGGTATGTTTTGATACAACCTATAGGAAAAATAGAGAAGGAAGACCTTTTGCTATGTTGTTGGTGTGAATAATCATAAGCAAATAGTTATATTTGGTGTTGCATTGTTGTATGCTGAGACTACCTCCATTTTCATGTGGTTGTTTGACACTTTGGCCAAGGCCATGTCAGGAAAAAGACCACAAACCATTCTTACAGACCAAGATGCTGCAATGGCTAAAGCGTTGCTTGAAATATGGCCACAGACATGTCATCGATTATGCATTTGGCATATATATCAAAATCTCGCGAAACACCTTAGTAGTGTTTTTGAAGAGTTTAAGGATTTTTCCAAAGACTTTAGCCATTGCATATATGATTAGGAGGAGGAAAAATAGTTTATAAATGCTTGGAGTAACATGCTTGAAAAATATAATCTCGAAAGTGATGATTGGTTACGTGGAATGTTTTGCATAAAAGAGAAATGGGCTTTGGTTTATGGGTGACATCATTTTTGCATTGATATCACCACCACCCAACGTAGCGAAAGCATGAATAGTTCTCTAAAGAGGTATGCCAATTACAAACATGATTTGCTGCGTTTTTTTAACCATTTTCAGATACTAGTTGAGGATCGCCATTATGAAGAATTAAAGACCGACTTTAAAGCAAGTCAAAGTTCTATAGCGTTGTCATTTCCAATTGAAATCTTGAAGCATACAGCTAGTGTTTACAACCAAAAGTGTTTACTGTATTTCAGAATGAACTATGTAAAGTTCATGATTGTGTGTTGAACTTATTGGGTGAGGGTGGTACAGTGAGCAAATATGGACTTGCTCCTCATGGAAGGCATATATATCATACTGTCACATATGACTCAATCAACAACATCATATCTTGTAGTTGTAAGAAGTTCGAGTTTGCCGGAATGTTGTGTGCTCATGCTTTAAAGGTTCTCTCTACAAAAAATATCAAGAGTATTCCTACTCAATACATTATGAAGAGATGGGCAAGAAATGTTAAGGATAAAAGTGCAAAATCTACTTGCATGACAAGTGAAAGTGACCCAAAGTTAGAAGTAGCAAGGCGCTATAGAGAGATATGCCAGTTGAATATTCAATTAGCAATAAGGGTATCAAAATCTCAACAAGCGTATGAAATTGCTATAAAGGCACTTACGAACACATTGGCAGATGTTGAAGCATCCTTCAAGGAAAACAAAATTCAAAAAGCTCCTCAGGCCCTCTCCCCAGCTGTCAATAATCTGTCTCTGCTTGAAGAAAGTATTTATGTGGATGGCGATCATAACACTAGAGTAAGAGGAATTAAAACTAAAGAAAGATCAGTTAATGGATCTAGTAGGCCAAAAAGTGCTTTGGAAAAGGCCACAAAAAAAGAAAAGTTCTAGAAAAAAGGCATTGCATACATCAAGTACTCTGCCACACAAAGTGTTATGGCTTCCACCCTCCCAATCCAACAGGTATGTTTTATCTTTAATTCGTAGACATAATTTCATAAGGGTGCGTTAAGTTAGTTACTAATTTGTATTATCAACTACCATGAACATACTGCTTATAATTTAACCATGGGTGTGCCAATCCAAACTATGAATCAGTTACCTACAAACTTTGTTCAGGTATTCCTCAAGTTTCATTATTAGTTTTTAACTTGTGTTTGCTTATCATTTCATTTTCCTTCTTAAATTTATTGAGTCATTTTTTATTTTCTTTGTCCAACCCATGCATTGCATAGCTTTCTGGTGGCAATAATTTAAACACGAGTTTTCCAGTCCATGAGCAAAATGTAACGCCTCCACACATGCAATTAAGACAACCATTTCAATTTGCTTAGGTATTATCACTTTAAAGTGTATTTAGTAATTCACCTTATCATTATTTGAAGTATGTTACTCGCTAAACTTATTTTTATTTGTGTTGTGTGCATGCTTATATATACGCTAGCAAAGCCACATAGGAGGCTATATTATCGTAAGCAGTTATCGGTAATGTTCCTTGAACATGGCTACCAATATAGTTAATCTAAAAACTTATACTGCTTATTTTGAGTAATTTGTACATAAACAATGATATATTTTATTTCATTCCATGTTTTATGAATGCAGACACAACTGGAAGAAGAACTGGATTTGCTTGGATCTCAATTTACAAGCCAAGAGAAAAGTTAGCATATAGACGTACAAAATGAAAACTAAGATGATATTGGAGAATGAGTGGAAAAGGATTGTAGCACTGATGATTTTGTCCATGTATTTTTCAAAGAGTCATGCTAATATGTTCTCGACGCATGGTAGAGTCTGAGTGAGTAAAACTACTTAGGTTTAAAATCGGGATTTCACTCAATTCTTGTATGGTCTAGTGATATTTATAAGCTGATAAGCATATGAATTGTTGCCATCAATATTTCATGACCTTTTCTCATGTATCCAATTTCATTGCTGCTAGTGCTGTTGGCATCTTCATCTATTATGGTTATATCAAGGTTTTGTGATCTTTCAATTTGTATTAGCACGGATTAGTTGATATCAGATAGTAGTTTAGTTTCTTTGGATGAGACCATGACATATTATTTGATAAAAACTCCAGAATTCGAACATATTGACGATGAGGATTTTTTAGAAGTTAACTCCATTGACAAGAAAACAACTAAAAGTCTCTTCATTTGTAGTAGGTCATAACACTTCAATTGTAATTGAACACCTGTTTGTGCTCAATTAAAACCATGCACCACGTCAGTGGTTTCGATGAACCTTTTTGTGGCGCTTCTCTGCACTTGTACTCTACATAGTCATTTGCGGGAGGAAAGTTAATAGATGAATCTCTTAGCACGGGCTTTTTTTGACTCCATGGTTCATCTTCTATGTTGTGCTCAACACTCTGCACATGAATTTTTGGCTCCACAGTACAGTGCTTGGACATGGAGACTAAGAAAATTAAAATGGAACTAAAGACCAAAATCTGGGCAAAGGCCTGCAATAATAAAAAACACAAACAACCATCTCCACTAACTAATCTATCTCAACCCCTTCACATGTCCCATTCACAAATAAAATAAGAAAAAAATTAACTTATAGTTGCTCCTTCTCCAGGGTCGTGC